TTCAAAGCTCATTGTGCTTTTAGCTGGCTTCTCCAGCTGGCTGCTATAAAATCGAAGGGAATCATTTTCTTGTTCTCCATTCGCAATCTGTGTATTATTTGTCTGTGATATAACTTACTTGAAAAACATTAAAAAAATTCGAATCCATTTGGTCTTATTGCTAATTACTTAAGGCACTACATGGGGTAACTACATTTCGTTGCTGTAAGTAAGGTAAAAAATTGCACTTTCAATGCCCAATAACTGGAGAAAAAAACTGTACCGGTATATGACGTAGTAAAAAAAGTTGCTTCAAATAATATATTGTATAAAAATCCGTTGTCATGTGGCGGCGCCTAGAAGAATATAATGGTTCCAATTAATGAATATGGTAAAATTTAGACTTTCCAACTAACATGACTTGTTTTTTTTTTTGAAATTACAATTTGAGCTTAGTAACTGTAGAATAGCTTGGGGAGTATTATAGGAGAATACTGTTAGTAGATTTACAAGCTTTACTAAGAGCTAGGAAGATTCTAGGGGAAGAGTACTAAGTAACTTAAAATGCCTTTTACTAATGATATAAAAATTATTTGAACAGAGTAGTACTTATTGTGTATCTGTTGAAATTTATATTGTAAATAACGTGGACATAATAAAATATGTTAAAAGTTATAAAACACAATTTTAAAACAATGAAATATGACATTAATTTAGGTTATTTGGATATAAAGGACATACCAAATCTGAGATAAAATCATAAAAGGTTAACACGTTAAGAGGTACATATGTAAACATAACTCATATAAACTACAGGCAGTACATAAAGTTAACATGAAAACAAACAATATTAACAGCAGTAGAAGAAGATTTAAGGCATAAATGTCACATGAAATATGTTCGACACCATTAAATAAATTTATGGCCATGGCGCCAAGAACGAACGAAAAATTTTTTAAATATCTCATCGTATATAAATAATTATATTCATATACACATTGAATATAAATTAAATATATATGTATACTAATTTATTAGGTTAAGAGCAAAAATATTTGATTGAGTTCTGTTGCAATGTATAGACAGATACTATGTGGGGAAAAGGGTGTTAATAAACTTAATAATAAACGTTTAATAAATGTTGTAAATATTTAATTAATAAATATTATAAAAATTAAAAATTAAATTAAAACTTTAATATTAAATTTAAAGTAAGTTTTATTTATTCGACTGCACTTATTGCTTTCATTGGTTAATAATTTAATATCTTTCTGTAGATAAATTAAATAACAGAAATTATATATAACTTATATTACACGTTTCGCAACATAATGCAATAATTATATTTAAGTTTTTATCTATAAACAATCATATTGGGTTTGTAATTTCCTAGGTTATAAATATATTTGTGTTTACACCCCTCAACTCACGAAATGCACGTTTCAACTGCTTAATTTATTTTGGTTATAAATCACAAATCTTGAGAGATTTTTACAATTTCAATTTTTCATCAGTCATAAAAGTATCTTTGATTCTTTTTAAAATTGAGTTGATTTAATAAAACCCAATAATACTAATACTTTAATATGTTATGTTATTACGTAAGTTTATTGGTTATTATATTATTATGAAAGATTATTATATTATGAAAGAGCCAAGCTAATTTTCCTGAGATATTTCATTTATTTATTTTCTTGAGATAATTTTGTAATAATCAGTCATTTACACAATGCATTTTAAAACAAACGTTGCAATAATTGGTATAAAGAAGATCTTATGCGATCTTTATGAGTCTGAAAATAACTAAATATTCAATTTAATAAAAAAAAAAACTTTTAAAAAGAGATCAGTTGCAACAATAAGAACGCGATAAGCACAGAACAGTTTATTTAATTTGGTTTACTATTATTTTAAACACGTAGAGAATATTGTATATTAAGGTGTTCTTTTCTTACTAAATTCACCACTTGCTGAAATGCACATAGTAGGTGTAGTAAAAAGAAATCTATTACTTTTGCATAAAATCGAAGGCTTATTTACCATAGTTCAAATGATCCGATTTTGGTAAAATATGCGTCGTTTTGTTCGAAAACTTTTTGCCATTTTACAGGAAATTTCTTTGTGTGTCTCTCATAGAAGTCCACGTCCTCATTGGCAAAAAATTAAGACCATCGATTAACACAAGCCTCTCTTGAAGCGTATTTATCACTAGAAAAATCGTTCGTTATGGATATGAACAGATGGTAATCACTTGGTTTCAGGTCTGAACTATACAGCGGATGCATAAGAACTTTCCAACCAAGCTGCCGGAGCTTCTGACGAGTCATTATCGATGTTTGTCGCCTGGCGTTATTCTGATGAAACACAATTCCTATATTATTGTACAGAGCTAGCCGTTTTTGGGCGATTATTTCCTTCAGATAGTCAAACGGACCAATTGATGACAGTACAATATAAAGTAAAAATTAATGCCGTAGGGGAGCAGATCACAGTAGATGAGACTCGGCCAATTCCACTAAATACACAGCAAAATCCTCCTGGCTTGGCTACTGTTTCAACCGGCTCACTGCAAAGCGACTATTATCGTTTTTGCATAACCTTGTCGTACGTCATTCACTTTTCATCACCAACGAATCAGTCACCAACCGCTTAAGAAATTTATTGATTCGTAAATGGAAATTTGGTATGTGAGGTTTTTTGCATTAACTAGCGTGGTACCCACATTCTTTTACATACATTCTTTTTGTATCCAGCCTCATTCACATGGTTTAAAACGATTTTTTGTTAGTCTTTAGCTCTTGGGTAACCGAAACATGATTCCATGATTTTATAGACATTTACGATAATTGGTCTTTTAGTGCATGGTGGATGATTGACATCGAAATTATCAGAAAGAAATCGATGAAACCAAAATTGCCCATGATTAGTTGTTAAAATATCAGGACCATAAACAGTATTCACTTTTTCAGCCGCATGGCTTGCGTTTTCGTCTTTATGTAAGGAAAACTTTAAAATATAACGTTTTCTTTTTGCTAGTGTCCATAATTAACGCGTGCTTAAACAAAACTAAGTCAACCAATTAAAAAACTCTCAAAAATTTTTTTAATGCGAAATCTCATCTTTCCAACGCTATCTAGCGTAACTCGATCGGACTTACACGACGCGGGATACATATAACTAAAGCTATCTACTAAGAATTTCCTTTTACTACATCATGTATTATATATTCATTATAGAGTTTATTATAAATAGAGCTTAGCACCAATATTTAATCGGCAGCATTGAAAAGAGATATGGGTAGATGGGAAGACCATTTTGATTTCTCAGATTTTGGTAAATAATATTTTGAATAAAAATATGGTTATATAAAAATAAAATAAAAAAAACAGTTTTAGCTGTTCAAACCCGGTTTATTCTAAACTCGAGAAATAAATCGAATAAAACACTGACCAAAGTGAAATAGAAAAGAACTGAGTCAATCATCCCATTGAATAAAACATATGAGTGTAATGGACTTGTCAAATTCTTATGATCTGCTTTTTTAGGACTTTATAAATTGAAAGTATTATTCTCTAAATTTGTTTAATGATTTTATAAAATTTTAAAACCTTAAAGCTCATCCGTCTTTAATTTGCACTTACAGTCAATTTAAAGTAAAGTTATTTATGTAAAATATATAGCATGAGCCATTGTACTTTCTTTTTCATTGAATGCTTTTATAAATTGAATTTTTTGATGTTTAATTTTAATGTTTTATTGAAAGACTGATAGCCTCTATTAAATTAGAAGTGTAATTACATAAGATTACTAATCTTAAGTTTTTACTGCTTGATTTCGTTTCGGTTTCTGTGATGATAATTAAAAAATCATTTAAAACCAAAGTTTTTGTAATTTAAAAGTTTAAATTGGACCCTATACCTTTTCAGTACCATTGGCAAGGTCAAAATGTATTGATAAAATACATATTTAAATATGTCAAATATAAGGAAATGATCGTGATCTGAAGAATTCTTTAAATTCGTACAAATTTTAGAATTACTTAGGTCTCACTTCTTGAAAGTGTTAAATTGCCACTGCAAAATTATTTTATGTCATTAGAAATATAAAAATATCAAACTTAAAGTCAAGGCTTCACTTTACGATTTTTTATATATGTTAACATTTTAAATATCTTTGCTTGAAGTATCTACCTATTTTATCAATTACTTTGATTTTATGGAATAAAAATTTTTATTGCAGTTAATGGTTTTTTTTTGAATGGTATAAAAAATCTGGAAGAGTCTAGATTTTCCTTTTCTTTTCTTTTCCATATGTGTATTCGAAATTAAATTTTATGATATAATTGAATATTGCTTTAATTTTTAATGTTATTAATATCAATCTATATACATAAAAGAAAGTTGTGTTAGTTACACCACTCATAACTCAAGAACGGCTGAACCGATTTTAATTATCTTTGATTTGTTGGAATCGTCTCCGCTCCGAATAGCAGAATACATTATAAAATATTGGAAAAATCCACTAATTTTAGCAAAAATAATAAATTTGTAAATGCTGTTTCAAACTGTTGACAGTTCGAAAGTTTGAGTGATATTGATTTCTTTTTAAATTTTTTTTTTCAAATATTTCAAATATTTGAAATTTCAAATATAATAAATTCAAAAATAATAAATAAATATTGTTATCAATATACCATCGAATCCACGTGACCTGTGGAACAAATATAAGGATAACATGTCAGAAGACATTTTACATAGAATTCGTGTCAGTTCAAGAAATCCCGATCTTGAGGTGAATGATGAAATGCATAATCAGGCTTTGCTCTTGATCGAAGACATATGTTACCATACCTGCGGTAGTTTGTTGGTCAGATTAGGAATGCCAGCTCCTGATCGTGGAATAAATAACGCATTTAATCGAGAATTGGAACGTGAACGTGAATATGATCGACATGAATTAGACCAATCAGTTCAAACTAATGTACCTCTATTGAAACCGCAACAGAAGGAAGTTTAACATAAATGAAAGCGATTGATGAAGAAAATGGTGGCTTTTTTTTCCTGGACGCCCCCGGTGGGACTGGTAAAACATTCCTCATGGCATTAATTTTGGTCACTGTTCGTGCGATATTCCGACATTGCGGTAGCAGTTGCTCTTCTGGAATAACGGCTACATTGTTAGAAGGATGTCGTACGGCTCATTCAGCGTTTAAATTGCCGTTAAACCTTCAAACTACCGAGCAACCGATATGTAATATTGCGAAGCATTCTGCAATGGCTAAAGTTTTAGTAGCATCTAAAATCATCATCTGGGACGAAAGCACAATGGCGCACAAACGCGCATTAGAAGCACTTGACAGAACATTGAAAGATCTTCGCAATGACTCGAGATGTTTTGGAGGCGCAATGATTTTACTGTCTGACGATTTTCGCCAAACACTCCCAGTCATTCCAAAATCGACTGCTGTGGACGAAATAAATGCTTGCCTTAAATCATCAAATCTTTGGCGCTATGTGAAGAAACTTCAGCTGGTAACAAACATGAGAGTTGCATTGGTAAACGATACATCTGCTGAAGAGTTCTCCAAGCAATTGCTGTTAATCGGTAATGGCCGTGTAGCTGTTGAAAAATCGAGCGGATTAATTGCATATCCTTCAAATTTTTGCAATTTCGTCTCATCAAAAGACGAACTCATCAATGAAGTATTTCCGAACATCATTGATAATCATAAAAACAAAAAATGGTTGAGTGAGCGAGCAATTTTGGCAGCTAAGAACAAAGATGTGAATGACTTAAGCTTTGTAATTCAAAATCAAATCGTTGGTACTCTGCATACATTCAAATCTATTGACTGTGTAACAAACGAAGAAGAAGCTACCAACTATCCAACTAAATTTTTGAACTCCTTGGATGTGCCTGGCTTACCACCGCACAATTTACAATTAAAGATTGGTTCGGTAGTCATTATGTTTCGAAATCTAAACCAACCAAAACTATGCAATGGAACGCGATTAGTGATAACAAAACTGATGGCCAATGTGATTCACGCAATGATACTCAAAGGAAAATTCAAAAGTGATGAAGTTCTCATTCCGAGGATTCCAATGATCTCAATCAATATGCCCTTTGAGTTTAAACGAATTCAATTTTCTATTCGGCTTGCATTCGCTAAGACTATAAATAAATCACAAGGCCAATCCTTTAGTGTTTGTGGTCTGAATCTAGAAAATGCATGTTTTTCACATGGTCAATTGTACGTGGCATGTTCACGTGTAGGCAAACCATCTGCTTTATTTGTTCTTGTGCCTGATAAAAAAACAAAAAATATCGAATATCACAAGGTTCTTTATTGAAGAGAATCAATCGGAGTGCAACCCATAGGTTGCTGACAGACTATTAAAATAATTAATTATATATCAATATCCTAATAAACTATTGAATACAATAAATTTTTTGTATTCATTTTATTACTTTAATAAATTTCTAAATTCAGTTTACCTATAATTTAATATAACATTTATTGACTGTTACGCGGTACGAAGTTCGCGGGGTCACCTAGTATACCTATATAATACAAAAACTCACAGTAAAATGTGCCATTTGGTCTGGAAGTTTGATAGCCTTTCGTCTTCTTGGAAATTATGAAGATGAACAAAACTGTCTCTATTTTACGCAGTCACTTCTACATGATTACCAATTTAAATTGGCTTATTATTGAAGATATAGATTTAGAAAGTGTATGCAGTTTCAATAAGAAACTGCTATTAACCACGCTACATATGTTATTCTGTTCTTTAGTTGAGCAAGAAGTTTCTCGGATGTGTATTCTCTTGTTTTGTGGGTTTGAACAGAACACGACGACCATTCGATTTATTATCACTTATTCTCACTTTTTCGTGAGTTTATGTAAAGTGTGAAAAATTAATCTAAGCAACCTTTATTTTCGCAATGCTTTAAAAATGAAATCTGTCAAGTATGTTTGAGTTACAGTTACAGTTAATTACTGGTGTTTGTGATGATTCTCAAAGGGATTCAGTACAAAAAGTGGAAGGTTTTTAAATGTATGTTAATTGTATTTCATATCTAATGGCGAGAGCAAAACAAAATATTAAAATATGATTAAAATCTCAATCACATTTAAGTCACAAATAAATAATTCTGCATTATTTAATTATTAATTTTGCTTTATAATTTTTTTAAATTCATAATATTGAACTCATTGAGAGTCTTGTTGTTTCTAATATCTTCTACGGCATTCTTAAACTTTACATTCAGCGGCAATGGCAGCAATAACTGTGGATAAATTTTATGCTAACAGATAATATATAATATTTGTTTTTCGTAACCAATATGAAATTAAAACTTTCAGACCTATTCTGTGCACTTTATAAAAAGATGTGTCCAGAATACCAAAAAGCTTTCTGCTATATAAAAATCAAAAATTTTATTAAAGAATTTTACAAATCTGTCAAGTGAATAGGCCCGTTAGTATAGTTTCAATTCAATAGTTGAAGGTAGTTATTTGTCATATAATTTATTCAAAATTGTTATCATTAATTGTTTATACATTAAAAAATTTATAATTCTCATTAGATTTGCTAATAAGTTTCTATACAAATTATATAAAGTAATAAATGTGATGTGAGATGATTTCCCATAATGTTGATACATCGTAATTGATTTCTATAATCCTAAATCATCACGATACTTGAGAGATTTTGATTAGGGAAAACATAACAGCACTAAAATATAAAACTCTTATAAGATTACCAAATGAATTTCTGATTTGAGAATAAACTTATGTTGGATTCATAATTTTGTTTTTTTCTTTTCTTTTACTTGGTTCCAAATTTAAGTTATAGGAATATACCTAGCGATTTCTACAACTACCGATTAATTGGCACTAATGCTAGAAATTTTCTTCATATTCGTGCATGGTATTTAATGTGTGTTCACAAAAAAGAATTTCCATTATACTTGTAGAGAGTATCATACTCTCATTGACATTAGAGTTTGATAATCATAACAAGCAAATAAAGTCTCATAATACCTGTAATTGTGTTATTTATTGCAAACTAAAATAAATGAGTGTATTTGCTGCAGAAGACTGCCTGAACATATCAATGGTCAAACCTTTTCATGCGATTTTTCAAATTCAAGGAAGGGGGTATTACTCAATGGACTATTCTGTGCCTGGGTTCATTTCTTTATATAGTCTTTGCAGGGAACGTATATGTCAGTCTGTTACTAGCTATATATAAACTGAGTGATAGATGATTTATTGTAATACCATTTTATATAATCTTAGGTTAAGTTAGGTTATACAGGTGATCTCTGGTGCATCCACTTAGCCCTATTGAGCCATTGTGCTACGGTATATATAGGAAAAACTCAGGGTTTAAAATAACCTATAATAATCTTGTATAATCTTAGTTGCATAAAAAATCTCGATTGTCTAATGAACGGTTCCTCAAATGGAAAATGGATCTTATTAGGTTAAATGAAAAATTTGTATTAATAAAATATAATGAACACAGGAAAATAATGCTGTATATTAAGTGCAATCGAAAGGATATTATTCTTTACAAGTCACTACAATTACAATTACCATGCGATCGATGCTGTTTTAATTGACAACTGGGATCGGAACTGTGAATTGAAAGTAACCCGGAATTGATCAAGAAACGAGGTGTTATATTAAGAGATATGTATTCGTATTAAGGTTGCTGAATATATTTGCTTAAGAAACAGGAAATTTGAAATAAAAACTTGGAATAAAAAAAAAATTTTCCAGCATTAAAAACTAGAGACCTAGATGGAAAGAAATAATACTTCCTTTTTATCGCATGGTTCTTATATAAGAATTTATAACTGTAATATTAATACTAAGAATCTGCAAAGCGATTAAAAATTTGTAATTATATTTTTTGAAACACATGCCGAATTATAGTGAAAGAACTTGACCTAATAAATCATTGCTAAGCAAATTTCCTGTATTTCAATCATTGACTCTGCAAAATATTTTAGCTTATACAATATATATTTGACTTTAGCAAGATCTATGTGAAATAAATACGAATGGATGAAAAAAATCATCGAGTATTTAATCTAATTTATATTGATAATATATATATAGTATTTGATCACCCCTTTTTCAAGATTCCAGATCCTTTCATTAATTGAATATTTGTAGGATTGGAAGTAGAAAATTCGTGAATTGAAATTTTGTAGGATATTCAAACCTAATATTTTCAGTAGTTGTATAGGCAGATAATCTGAATATTTAATTCAGATTATGAATCATAGAAATATAACCATATAACAAGATTCTTAAGACTTATATACAATAAAATTCGGACTTAAAGATAGTAACACTGAAGCAGAAATATCTTTGTTGACTTACCTATAGTCAACTAAATGGTTGACTGTTTACACTGGAAGCTATTTGTCATCAAAACTTGTACTCCTTACAACAATATAGTGTCTCATAGGCAAGTGGCTTGTCTAACATGAAAGTCTTTCAAACTTAATTCGTACATCTTCCCTACTGGTTCTTAAAGACTAGAACACAAGACCCACAGTTCTTTGTGAAGAGCATAAAAGCAACAAAAGATTTGGCTAATTTGTGAAGCAAGGAACACGATTTCAATTAATTCAATTCAAATTATTGTGGGAAGCTCCTAATCATGTGGGGACAGTTTTAAATACATTCGAGACAGACTTAAATTGATACTTTGTGCTGAGCAGAGAAGATAATAAAACATCCCCCTAACTGAATACATCTATCTTGGGTTTTAACAAATTTAGCTTGTTAATAGTAAGCCCATTTAATCCCCTCTCTACCCTTGATTACTGGAATAAGTTTGTATAGGCTGAACGCGGATACAACCTTCTTCAATCATTCCTAAGAGGTGGTTTTAGTAGTTTCAAGTCTCATACTGTGGGTTTTAATGTTTTCCATCTACTGCAAAAAAAAAAAAATAAAAAAAATTGTTTAAAAAGCTTTGTATAGGATATTGTGGATTAGATTAGCTTTTTAACAGAATTGAGCTGTCAGAGATCAAGAATTGACACTTTTGTGAAATGGATGTTTACACATCTGTACACATTCGGAATGAGTAAAATTTTATCTTGAAGATATATCATGCAGCATAAATTACTTGAGCGGTATTGTGATCTATGGTGATTGTAATAATATTGTACCATATGAATATGTAATGAACATATAGCAGTGATATAGTATATCATACAATATAGAAGTGAACACAATAATGTTCCGATGTCACACAATGTAATGTGATTACACTCAATGGAAAAAAAAATTAGTAATTTAATCAGAATATTTAAGCTGTTAGTAGATATTTTGATCTTAATCTTTGCTCTCAAAAAGAAAAAAACTTGATGCTGTAATAGGCGGTTGTCACAAGCAAAAATAACCTAATACAGATCGCTTTTTGAAAGAAGTTTAAGAACAACTATCTCAAAAATGATAAAAAAACGATGACTATTCAATTAATATCGAATTTGGACACTTTTGGAATACTTTAGTGCAAATTTCAGATTTAGCATTTGATGATAATCAGATCTAGAAATGGTAACATATAAGACATTCGAAAACCAACGGTTTTAGTGTTCAGGATATCAATATTTTTCGGACAATATTTCCGTGAGAAATACCAGCACAAATACGATAGTTTGTTTAACTGGAATGTTCATAAAATAAAAATGTTTAGAATTAATTTGGCTTTGACAAATTAGTGATTATAATAAACGACATGTTTTTGCGCAATCCTGAAAACCATTTGTAAAAGCAATAATATTGTGATATTAAAATTTTTAAACTACATTTGGATTCATATTAATTGAAACGAAAACCCCTTCACTCCACTCATGTAGGAGTAACAATGTCAGGATCGAGTATCGAAATATACTTTCATGTTAAGGGCTCACATACAATAATTACAAATAAAACTTGCATATTTTTAAATATTTCTTTATTAATTAAATACTTATAGAAATTTTATTTTCAATATTATTTTTAATAGCTTTTATGCATATTGCATACATACATGTATGTAGTGCTTTTTTTAAAGTAAATGAAAAAAGCTAACTTAAAACTTTTTCATTAACCCCAAAGTGAAATACATATTTTTTAACCCTAAAATGACACATAAGTACACTTTCATAACTCTAATATGAAGCATGTATTATTTTAATTTGTTCTACTTGCGTTCAATATACGTCATTGGAACAGGCAAATGCAATAATAAATCGCAATAATAATTATCAAAGGTAAGAACCGTTTTAAAGAGATCGGAGAATATAAGAGCGCATAAAGATTATGATTTTGATG